TTCTGCAAGAATTTAAAAGTATTAACTTTCTGCTGAAAGCACCTTAGTGCATAAGTGCCTCCCTTTTTATCAATGGCCTGTGGGTCTGGCTCACAATCTCTTGAAACAACTGCCACAGTCCTGAAGTTACTCGTCACACTTCATTCCAACTTTTGTATGCAGTTTTCTGGAATCAGTTACTGGACAAATTGTCTCAACAAAACAAAAGAGGTGATATCACCATATTCAGTTTTTGATAAACAGGGTAAGTTTGAAGTCTCATAAAAAAGAATTATCATGTATGTATATATGCATACATTTATGTAAGTTAATTTTAGCAGGAAAACCCTGAAGTGGCATCTATGCCAATGTTGTCTTAAATTTTCCCTTCCCTCCTACCTGTTGTGAAAGAAAAGACCAAAACCAAAATGAGTAGTAACTACAACCATTCACTACATTTAACATCTCTACAGCTTGGTAAGAGTGTTTGCCAAATTGAAGCTCAGTAAAAAATTAATTGGACTACTGGCCACAATTTATTAAGGAAATAAATGTTCTGAGTGCAACAGGAAGCTATCTAAGAGCTTTTGGTGGAGTTTTATTGCTCTGCCCTGGTTTTGAAACTAAGCAGAAAGCTTAATGTGAAATCAATTCTGGGACATCACATCATCTATCTTATGCATGTTGCTAATCCCAGGCTTGTCCATGGCTTTAGCGCCTAACTTTTCAGCATCTCTAAGTGCCCCACATCTCTGCAGGATCATGCCATGGACACATGGCATTTTATTTATCAGAGAAACATTGGCTGAACCCACACAATTCCTCCTGAAGTTGTATCATAACAGACAGCTGGATATTTGTACAGTTTTCAAAGATCTATTGGATTGTTTTCATAGAGAGTTTTGATGTCAGATAGATGGTGTGTATGTGTGTGGGTGTGTGTGGGGGGGAGTGTGTGTTGAGCAGCCATTGCAGAAAATAGAAAAATAAACGAGACTCAATAATTAGTATGAGCCTACACAAGATTCAACATGGAAATCCCATCTACTTCAAAATTACTGATCAAAATGGGTCAAAGTAATTGGATAATTAGCCCGCGAATGGGACAATCATCCAATTTTGAAAAGGTGAAAATAAATAAATCTTAGAAGGAGCACCACCAACACCAATTTCTCACTTCCAATTTCTCCCAAGAGTCTGAATATTTCCATGACCAATTAGGTAAAGCTCTAAGGCTATACGTTTTATTACATTGTATTGCAAGAAGGATATTATTCCTATTTTATATACCACAATTCAAAACCGTCTGGACCTTAGAATATTATCACCCCTCTCACCCTATTTTTAAACACTTAGGCTTTTCTTTGAAGCCTGCGTGCGTAAAGTGGGTTCAGTGTCTCGCTGTCTGAGACATACAGAATCTCAAATCTCTAGCACTCACATTCATGACCACAAACTGTAAGCGTCTGCAGCAACAGACTTAGGAAAACATAATCACCTACCTATCCTCCAGCCAGGCCTTTTTGGAAGCGGATAAAAAACAGGTACCTAAAAAAGGGCACTACCCCTAAAAAGGTAGGTCCTGTACTTTCCTTCAGAAGGGGGCAGAAGCCTTCTGGAAACTTCCTGGTGTTGCGGCCTCTCAGTGCATCCAATGCCACCTATGTGTGCCGACAGGGGCCCAACAGGCCAGGCATGGTTGGGAATGTATTTTCCGGAAGCAGAGAACTTTCTGGCAGTTCCTCCTTGTGGAGTCAACTCAGATGTGATAAGGAAGAAGTGTAAATTTCAGTATCTGCCTTCCCTTGCCCCCTTATGCACAACATCACAGCCTGGGGAGTTCTCCAGCACACTCCAGAAAATTGCCAAGAGGGTTACTTGGTTTCTGGTTTTACTGTCAGGTACGGCCTACTGAAGCAACATTCTTGCCTCATATCCATTCTAACCCCTCCCAGATAAATCCCAGAGCAGTGGAAGCAGTGAAAATAGCAACATCAGCTCTTTTGCATCATTGGTAAGCCTGCTCATTTAGAACCACATTTTCAGTCGGTAACTCAAGACACAGTCGTGCATGGCAGGGATCTAGGCAGAAATAGGCCAAGTGCTCATTTCATATAGGAAACTGTCTCAGTTCCTAGGTTGGCAATCATTATGCATGGGAACTTTACCTTATCCTATGATTTTCTCTTTGAGAAATTTAGCATGGAATGACAGTGTCTAAAGATATTATACAAAGCATGCTTGAAAGAAAAACATTCAAGCTTCAGATCAAATGTTTTGTCTGAGACTAAAGCTTATTAAGACCAATATAAAAAGCACCAATCGGAATAATGAAAATACCCTGTCTGTGGCCAGCATGTATTTATAAAATGAACAAAGAGAGTGGTAAAACATTTTTAGATGTCAACACTCAAAGCTAAGTACTTTTCCCCTCCAACCTAGGGGGGGAAATAGATATATATTTTGTGTATATACACATAATAATACACATATATAATACACAATACATAATCTATATATTATATATAATACACTATATATAATATATAAACACACACCTAAATATATATGTATATATATATATATTTTTTTTTTTATTTATCTTTTTTTTTAAGTAGGCCCTACACCCAGGTGGAGCCCAGCATGGGGCTTGAATTCACCACCCTGAGATCAAGACCTGAGTTGAGATCAAGAGTCAGGGACTTAACCAACTGAACCATCCAGATGCCCCAAGAGGAATATATATATATATATATATTTTTTACATAATTAAATAAAAGTTGGTGCTGTGACTTACCGGCAATTTTTCTTCTGATTCCTATAAATGAATTCTGTTGCTTCAGGTGGAAACCTGGCTTGTTCACTAACCTTGGTCTACTTTTAGATCTGGGTAATTATTTCCTGGGAGTCACTCAGGATAAGAATGGGGCTTATTACAAAATTGTGTTAGTCTCCCTTTGTAGGAGTTAGCTTCAGGGAAGTCTGAATTTTCGCAACTGAGAAGTAGTCAGATCAGACAGGATAAAGAACTTGAACGTTGCTGAACATTATCAGCAGAGCTGGAATTTCTTCCTCTCACTCCAGCTGAAAGAATTCCTAATGAAGCGTTGCACGGACGCTACAGGACGACAGATCCAAAGTCCCTGCAACCTTGAGAGAAGACCCACAATTTGCAACTTCATACTTGCAATCCACCAGACACTTGCCAGCTTTCCAGGTGAGCCCACCCAGAAAGAGTAGAAGCACGAACACCTGGCCGCTTCCTTCCGAGCGTACTGGTCAGTGTAGTTAAAACAGGCAACACCCTAGGAGAGGAAGTAAAGTGCGCTGCTCAAGGAAGGATACAGAACAGAGAAGTTTATTTTACATGATCCGTCCAAGAAAACAATCTCCATAAACCAGTGCAAAATGTGCAACAGAATCAATACGTGTGTCTTAGCTCTGAGAGCCCAGATTGGTGATTTCCTCTCCCGTTCCTCCTTCGGGCAGGTGCCCCATCAGCTAACGCTGGCCTCGGTTTGCACCACTGACAGAAAACATTCAACCAATGTGTAGCAGGTTATTTTTACAATTCATACCAGAATGTGTACAAGGGACGGGGGCGGAAAACCATACTGAATGAATGATAAGTGATCAGTGCTTAAAGTAAATACAGGGGGCAGCACGGGCAAGAATCCACAGTTTCAATAAATACAAGTGTAACAAGCATGGGTGGGTATCAACTCGGTGGAATTAGTCTGCATAATAATTCAGCATCATACAAAATCTAGCAGGGCTGTTGAGCAGTGATTGGCAACAACGTTCACAATAACTTAGGCCCTTGAGCAAGTCTGCATTGAACACATTCTGTGGTTCCGAAGGCGTCAGTCAGTTCTCTGTTTTCTCCTTCCTAGGCCATCCCTCCAGGATGGGAGGGGCGGAGCTGGGGCAGCTTGGTGGAGGCGTCCCATTAGGAAGGACGCTGGCCCAAGAGCCAGCCGTCAGGGTCCAGTGTACTCAATACCGAGTGGCAAATCGGGACTTTATTGACGATGTCTGTGCAAAGTGTGCTTCTCTCCATTTTCCAAGAAACCAGTGTCTGTAACTCCTGCACGAAAAGCAGTGGTGGCCTCTGGGTCACTCCCTGTCACCCCACAAACACCAAGCGACGAGCGCGCATCTCAGGGACTCACGGGCTGGGAAGCTTCTGGCGCTGACTGCCCGGCCCTGTCACAGTCGGGGAATGGAACCGGGGCCCCTCGTCCAAGGCCTCAGGCAGGCTAGAACTATTGCTTGAGAGACTAGAAGGTACCTAGTGAGAAAAAGATGATCCTAATGGCTACGTGGGAAGCGGTCTTCTTCCTCGAAAGCCTCGTGCCCCCTGGGTAACGCCTATGGGACTTCCGGGAGGCGACCTGCGCTATGAAACGTCACGCGTCTGTCCCCGGTGGCCCCGCCCACATGTGCGTCTCCTACGCGCTACATCCGTGCCTAGTCTACCGTGCCTAGGATGCGATCCCAGAACACACAGCAGGGACAGCCTGTGGGGCTCATCTGCTAATCCAGAGCCCAGTGCAGAAGAGGCAAGAGAAGCTCTCTGTCTCTGGAAGAAAAGGAAGAAAAGGGGGAAGCCCCCCTCCCCAAGTGAAACAACCTCCCCAAACCCAATCACCTAGGCATCACCTCGAAACTTAACGAAATCCCAGATACTCCCTAGCATCGATATACCCTCTCCTCTCTATTCCTTTGACAGTCTCAGGTCATAAATTAGGTTTGTCTTCCATCCAATAACTTAAAAAAGGAGGAGGGATTGTAGTAAGTTTTGCCTGGCTTGGGCCAGTTAGCAGCCAGTTTTGGTTTTTTTTGTTTGTTTGTTTTTGTTTTCCCCCTAGAATCTCAGTCACTGTTCAAAAATGGAGCTTGAAAATTCACGCGGATGTCAGAGTCTTCACACGGAGGAGACGGGAAGGGGTGGGCCGGAGGAACCCAGGGAGGAGGACGAGGAGCAGGGAGGGGCGGGGACAGCCTGGCCACCGAGGCAGGAGCGGAGGCCTGTGACCAGCGCGGGAGAGCCAGAGGCCCCGGCCCCGGGGACGGGGGCAGCCCGCGTGACTCGGGGTGCGGCTGGATCTTGTATTGCACAGAAAAGGAGGCCCAAGGCTCGGTGGGCGGCCGGGCGGGTCAGTGGTCGCCGCACATGGGCAAGTTCACAAACGTGAACACGTTGAACTCCGTCATGATGGAGAAGCACAGGAATACGCCGTACAGGAAAAGGCACCCGCACCCGAGCTTCTTGTCCAGCTGCCACTTGTTCAAGTGAACGCCAAACACCTGCAACACACACAGCGGGGTCAGAGGGCGCCGGAAGAGGCGGCACTGGGAGGGGAGGGGCGGGAGTGGGGGGTGGAGGTGGGAGAGGGGCCGCCGGTGGTGGACCTCGCGGAGCACCGATTGTCTCTGAGCACCCTTCAAGCTCATCGCTCACGTTTTGGAAGATCAGAACACCAAAATCAAGAAGGGAAGTCAGAACTTTAAAACAACTTTAAAAAGTCATAACGATGGGACCAACCGACACAGGCACTGTGGCCACCACACTAACCCTGGACTTCAACCCAGCACTGCTCTGTGCCCGCAGCCCCTGTTTTCTCTTCAGCCTCTTGTCCCCAAGCAGCCCCTGGCTCTTCCTGAGGACGCATCTCCTGGCAGGTGGTGGCCACTGTCTCTTCCATTCCTATGTCTGGAGGCAAAGTAATTGTACCCCTTGCTCCTCACTGCTGCTTTCCCCAAAATACCCAGCTTGGAATTTAAAGCCTTCTAACAGTCACACTCCATCCCACCTGGCTACAGTCTGCACTGCACACCCGGCCTCTCGCCCTCCCCTTTCCTCAGATCCCCGAGTCCCACTCACTGCCACTCCTATCTACAGCACCCGAACGTCCTTCCCCACGATTTCACCGTCCATGGAGAGGATTTTCCCAATACCTGTCCTCCACCCCATCTCCAACCCTGAACCTGCACTGCACTAGTCTCATGTGGCCACCCAAATCTGGACATAAGTAATATTAAAAACTAAGTTGCTCAGTTGCACTAGCCCCATGTCACGGGCTCCACACCCACACGTGGCCAATGCCTGCTGTCAGTGCAGGTGCAGGCACAGGCCACTGGACAGGTTCTGCTGGACACTCCTGCAGCTGAGATCCGGCGATGAGCAAGAACAGAAACGACTCTATCCTCTTAGTGTCCTTTATCCCACTCTCTGACTGCCATCTCCTCTTTCCAGCTTAGTCCGTCTGGAAGCCTCCCTCCCGAAACTCTACAGACCTGCAAGGACCCAGAACTCATTGCTACCACCACCATTCCACCGCACACCATCCCCTGGACCCACCCATGTCCCACCTTACCCTGCTAAAATCCCACCAGCAATTTCTAGAACCATCCCTGGGCATCTACTGCCATTCATTGGCCTCTCTGGTGATGTCGTGAAGCCTCAGCCTTGGGTTTGAGCCCAGCTTCCAGGGACTCCACCTTCCTTCCGTGCTGCTGATCCAACCTGGAGGAAAATGCCTGGCCATGCCGAAGGGTCTCTCTTTAAATTCAAGCCCACAAATCTCAAGCGGGCCATTAATGGCAATCCTCCCACATTTCTCTAAGTGCGCACTCTCTCCTTTTCTTGGATGGTTGTTTCCAGCCTTTCCTCTCTTCTCAGACCCCCCTTAACCCCTTCTTCCCCCTTCACTATCAGCACATGACCATGTTCCCATCCACAGAGCTCCCACCACCAGACCCACTTGCTTGCCTTCTCTCCTGATAGTGAGGACCTGATGCCCACAGCCCTGTCCGTAGTGCACTCCTCCACATGTGTACACAAGTCCACCTCCCTTACCACTCAAGACATGGCCCCAGCAACTGCCCCTCTTTCGTATCTGCCTCCCCACGCCACCTCTGCATTACTCCAACTGGGATACAAGAATCCTGCTCCTTCTCTCCTCTTAAAAAAACAGCTACATTTTTTCTGGATAGACATTTCTCTCCTTTCTTTACAGCAGGGTGACTTGAAAGAGTGGTAAATACCACTTTGTCCAATTTCTCTCCTTCCATTCTCCATTAACTTGTTCTACTTAACCTTCCGTCTCATTGCCCCACACAACCACCCTCTCACCAAGAACACCAATAATTTCATATCACTAATCTGAGCGGCCAGTGCTCAGGACTTACCTCCCTGAGAGAGCCGATCACTCCCTCCACCCAGAAATACCTTCTCTACTTGGCTTCCAGATGCTAGACTCCCCTGGTTTTCCTGCTACCTCCCTAATTGAGCACTCTGTTTCTTTTGGTGTTTTATTATCATCCTGACCTCCGGAGGGCACCAAGACTCGGATGTTGGCCCTCTTCTCTTTTCTGTCCTTGCTCACCCCCTTGCTGCCTGCATCTAATTGCATGTCTTTAAATACCATCCACGTTCTGGGGCCTCCAGCTTGAATGTTTCTCCTGAACTCAGACTCATCTTTCCAGTGGCTTTTTTGACCTCTCCCTTGGGTGTTGAACAGGCACTGAAAGCTCACCATGTTTGAAATTGCTCTTCCCCCACTGCTGACAAACCTACTTCTCTTCCATCTTCTAGCAACCCCATTTCAACATCCCAGGTGGAGGCTAGCCTCATCTCCTACAGGTTGTACAAGTGTAGCTGTAAGCATGCGCTCTGATGTCAGATGGCTTGCCCCTTCATTCATTTGGTGTCAATTCCTCTAGCGGTCTCAGATGTTCATCTGTATAATGGGGCTGGTAGAGCGGCTACTTGATGGGCATGTGGTGAGGTTCAAATGGGAAAATGTATGCAAAGCAATGAGCATAATGTGTGGCTATGACAGGTATCATAAGCCTAGGTCACATGAGACCCAAAGAAACTCCCAAGCTACAGAACAAAGAATTACATAGATTCCCACTTTTGTGTAAGGCAGTGTTTGCCTTAGCAAATACTTGACATTTGACTCACAGCATGATCCTGTCAATGACCTCCAGACTCCTGCCTGCTCTTCTGAATTCCTGTTCTCTAGCATATGGACGTTCACATGCCAGTGTAATTCAATGTTTCCTTGAACAATGTAATTCACTGTTTCCTTGAAAATTTCAGGAAGAAACACACTGCATCTCAATGTTTTCTAATGTGAAAATTCAACTGCCTACTTGTATGTTAACAGATACTTCATGTGGACCAGTCCATGTGTTGGTGCAAATTGATTTCCACCAAAACATGTCAGCTGAGTTGGAATATCAAATTATACAAGTAGATATAATGGCCAAGATAGCAGAATGGCATAAAAGTACACTTCAGTAAAATACTGTATTCTTAGTCTCTGAGTGTTGGTCAAATCCATGGATTTATGGAGATGCTTACTAACCTGGAACAGATAATTAATTGGAATCTACCCTTCTCTTGACTAATCTTACAGAAAAAGTGGGATCTCTCCTTTGCTTTTGATAAAAATGGCTTGGGCTTGACATGAGGCAGGGCCACGCTTCTCAGAGGAGGGCTGGCTCCTCTCATAAAGAAGGAAGGCTTTCTAGTGAGTTGCTAGGATCCACTTCTAAAGGAAACAGCCATGAAGGAGATGGGACATCTGGAGGCCAATTGTCCTCATCCCGGAGACCAAGCCCATCTGGTGTCCAAACAAACTCTGTAGCCAAAGAACCCAAAGGCGGGGATGGGGGATGGGGGGAGAGGAGTCACAGGAACTTGAGAGGGGAAGGAGCTGTAGCCTACCGTGACAAAGACAGAGGCCAGGAGTAAGCCCACGGAGTAGATCAGTCCTCTGCTGTTCAGCCGAATCTGTAAGAAAGGATGTGCAGTTAGGCTTCTAAAAAGGCATCTGCTCAGTGCAGGGGCTGAAGCGACTCTGAGTGGCGATCAGTCCAAATCTCTCCTTGAGGACGACAAACAAAAGGGAGCTTGGACAGCCATGCTCTGCCACTCTGCTGGGAGCAGGGATGTGCATTTTCCTAGGACAGCCAGGGGCGCCCTTGTCTTGTCCCCTCTCAGTCCAACCCCATCCTACCCTCCAGAGATAGGGCCCGCTGGGGTGCTCCATGGCCACCTGAATTCTCTGTGGTGTGCAGCCTGATTCTTGGTGCCCACAACACTTCCCTGTGGACCTGACCTCCAGGGAGCACGCACTTTCTTGACATACAACTTTTAGGGTAAATCTCGTGACACTGAGGGATGGGAGCAATATTTTAAAAAGTATTACTAAATTTGTTATCTCTTTTGCATTCAACTGTCTGTGAACTGCCCCAGACTGGACCGGAAGAGATGGGTGAGTCTTGCTCTTGTCAGCAAGCAAAGAAGAGGAAAGAGTTAACATTCCATTCCTGGTATTCGTAAAAGGATTTTGTTTTGTTTGTCTTACAGGGTAAGATAGTGGGGTGAACTGCCAAACACTGAGGAGAAAGAGAGAAACAATTTTTGGAATTCTTTTAAGATAGCACTGTCCAGTAGAACTTTCTGCCATGATGAAAATGTCCTGTATCTGCGTTGTCCCATATGGCAGCCATTAGGCACATATGGCTCGTCCAGCTGAACAAAAATTTTAATCTTATCTTCAATTAATTCAGATTTACATTTAAAGAGCCACATGTGATTAGTGGCTGCGGTATTGGGTAGGGCAGGTAGGGAATATTTAGAGGCCACCTGGCCAAAAAAGATTACAAAGTTTCTTTCATAGTGTAGAGAAGATGTCCCTTCTGCCTTGACCTAGGTCAAAGGTCATGAGGTCGGCTACCCTGAAATAGGAAGTATGCCTGAGAGTAGCCATGCTCGAAGCATCCTCCCTGGACCAGCATCATTTGGGGGTTTATTAGAAATGCAGGATCTGGGGTGCCTGGGTGGCTCAGTGAGTTAAGCCTCTGCCTTCAGCTCAGGTCATGATCCCAGGGTCCTGGGATCGAGCCCTACATTGGGCTCTCTGCTTAGCGGGGAGCCTGTTTCCTCCTCTCTCTCTGCTTGCCTCTCTGCCTGCTTGTGATCCCTGTCTGTCAAATGAATAAATAAAATCTTAAAAAAAAAAAAAAGAAAAAAAGAAATGCAGGATCTTAGGACGCCTGGGTGGCTCCATTGTTTAAGTGGCTGCCTTCGGCTCAGGTCATGATCCCAGCGTCCTGGGATTGAGTCCCACATTGGGATCCTTGCTTGGCGGGGAGCCTGCTTCTCCCTCTGCCTCTGCCTGCCGCTCTGTTTGCCTGTGCTCGCTTGCTCTCTCTCCCTCTCTCGCTCTCTGACAAATAAATAAATAAAAATCTTTAAAAAAAAAAAAAAGAAATGCAGGATCTCAGGCCCCACCCAGACTTCCTGAATCAGAAACTTTGGGGGTGGGGCCCAGCCAAGTGTTTTAATAAACCCTCCAGATGGTTCTGATGCATGAGAAAGTTTAAGAACCACTGACTTTGAGCCGGTACTAAGGCTAAATCCACTTCTGATCTCCACAGGTTTGGGGGCTAGGACTTTGACATTCATTTTCACCAGTTCTCTTGGAAAATCTTATCTGCATGGAGGCTTGGGGACCACAGAGCCCCCACCAACATACACTGTTCTTCTGGGAATCAAAGCTTCACCTGTACCTACAGGAAGGAAAAGCAAGGCAGGTTGATCATTTTATTAGAGAACTGAGTGGTGACTGTTACTAGAAGTGGTTTGGGGCCCTTCTGACAAGGTTCAAGGTGCCTCTTGGCACCCTTTTGCCAGTTCACCCCTGGGGTCTAGGTATGGGAACATGGGGGTGTCTCTGTAGGTGGGTGTGTTCGGTTTACCTTTTGGTGACAGGAAACTCCATGCCCTTAACAGTCAAAACCTTTGTGTGGGGACCCAGGGGCATACCATATCTTCTTATGCAATGTTCTGTCACAGAGGGAATGCACCAGTCCCTCTCTCCTGCTGGCACAATCCGTGTGAGCCAACCATTGACTGAACCCCGACTGGAAATTATCCCTAGCCACCAAATGCCTTCAGAAGAACAAAGGATTCAAATCATATCTCTGTGATACTAAAGCAATGGGTTAACCTGGGTAAGTTCATGTAAAAAAACGAGGGATTGGATCCATCCCTGTCCAGCTGGTAGCTTATCTTCCTGCAAACCTTCGATCTGCCTATAGATAGATTTCCTCCTTTCACCAGCTGTGTAGGGATAGAGAGGCTAATAGCTAGGAGTGTAGCACGAATCCTGAAAAAGTATTCTGTCCATACTGAACCTATGATAATCCCACATGTACCCTGGCCAGAGTTGGAGGGCAGGGGCAGGGCTCCTCAGAGCAAGATGGCAGCTCCTGTGCAGAGTGAAGAAGAGCCTGCAGGGGCTGTCCCCATCATGCAGGCCTTGGTTTCACCCTGAAGATGTGAGCACACACTTAGAAACCCTTTTGAGCTCCTAACTGTCAACATTGCATGGATTCTGCTAAGCATGGGACTGATGCATTCCCAGCCCAGCTCACCCTTTGAGCTCTAGGTTTGAATCATTATCAGCAGTAAGAATTTCCTGCCCTTTGGAAACCAAGAGCCATTGAGAGCTAGGCTCTAAGCAGGAACCTTCTCTTTGGCCAACCCTTCTACCTTTTCAAAATCAATCATATTTAGCTAGAGCTTTGGAACTTTATTCTTCCTCTATTGACATAAAATCTCAAAGAGTGGTGCTTCTAAAATTCTAAATCTGGCTCCAAAGACTAAAGACAACTGACTTGGTGGGCTTTTTTGAGTATTTTTCATATTTTCGCCTTTTTCTCTGCAGTCATCCTATGGTAACAGATTGCCACATGCATCCAGAGGTAATTTTTGTATTTTCATTCATTACAGACCTGGGCTCTCAAAGCCTGTATTGAGTCCTTGCTATCTGAACCCTCATCTCCACACAGACATGGCAGTCAGGAATTAGGGTTCCTTCAGTTGCTTCTGGGTCCAACTTGAACATCTCCCAATCACTGGAGACTACGGATGGTTTGGGGCAAGAGTTGGCCAGCTGTGGGCCATGGGCCGAGTGTGGCCCATTGCCTGATTTTGTAGATGAAATTTATTGGAGCTCAGCTCGTTCATTTGCATATTGTCTACTTCTGCAGTGGCAGAGGCCAAGAAGTTCCATAGAGACCATAAGGCCCATGAGGCTTAAAATATTTCCCCTCTTGCCCTTTCCAGAATGTCTGCTGATCCCTGGTTTGGGGCATGGGCTCCTGATCCAGTTCACCAAACCCCTTCTGAATCCCTGCTCCGTCACCCACTTGCTGTATCATCATGGAAAAGTGACTTAACTTCTCATGTCTCAGTTTTCTGAGAAGTAAAATGGGGATAATACAATTTCTACCTCATCAGGTGGTTGTGAGGACTCACTGAATTAATCCATGTTAAAAAGCTTGAAAAGGACCCAGTGTACAGTGAGTTCTCAGTGTGTCTGGGCCATTATTCTCCACTCAACCCATGAGCTGCCTAATCCCTTCTCTGGTACCCCTGGCTGCTTCTTTTATAAACTCACCACCTAGGAGCCCCCTCTTCAAAGCCTTAGTAGATGACAAACACAGTAAGGGTGGGGACCGTGTCTGACTTTATCCTCTGCCTTGCACAAGGCTGAGCACAGACCACATGCTTCCGTATGTAACCAATGAAGAGATGATTAATCCATTTCCTTTGCAGAAGTGAAATGGAGCAGTGTGGACTATTCACAGAGATGCTGGGAGCAGGGAGACCCCAGTTGCCATTTCTGGATAGTATTCCAGAAGCAATGCAATCCTATCCAACATTCCCTGTCCCCTTTCCCCACTTTATATTTTTGTGAATGCATGTAGCCTTTTTTCACCTACCATTTTATTATGAAAGTTTTCAAGCATTCAGAAAAGTTGAAAGAATTACACCATTTTATTAAACCATTATAGTTCACAGGTCTTTTGTTTCTAGATGCTATTTCCATATGGTGGAATTCACAAATCATAACTACACTGCTCAGTGGTTTCTGAGTTTCTGAGTTTCTGAGTCTCAGAGTTTCCGAGAAATGCATATACCTGTGTAACCTAAACCTAAACTGTAACCATGATAGAGAGCACTTCCATCCTCCCCAGAAAGTTCTCTTGTTCCCTCATCAGTCTCACCCAAGATCAGTCACTGCTTCTAGGCTTAGCCCATCCAAGAAAGTTCATATAAATGGAGCCCTATAATGTGTGTTCTTTTACATCAGGATTCTTTTACTCAGCAGAATATTTTAAGTATTTCTTCATTTCCTTTGTATTTTTCATTACATCAATAGCTCATTTCTTTTTGTAACAGCAAAAATATGTCATAGCTCATCTAGATATTCTCCTATTTATGGACATCTGGCTTGCTTCCAGTTTGGGGCTATCAACATGCATTGATTTTATAATTCACAAACACAATGATAAGAGACCTACAGAGGCCCCGTCACCCACAGGAGAAGCAGGAATGAAGATAATGAAAACAGCCAGGGGGCTCTGCTGGGACTTCAAACATGCTCTTTCACATCCCAGCATCCTGTCTCTCTAGCTGGGCACTAGGAGCCTCTCCAAACAGGAGATTCACCTTCCTCACCTTAGCACACTGCTGTCTTCCTTTTGGAACCTCAGTCTGGTCAGATGGGTTGCGTACCCCTACTCAACCTCAGCTCTATTCTGCCCATCCCTCCCTCAGTCCTTTTGTCTCTTCCAGGTTCACTGAGCCCTCGCTGGCCCTAGCTCCACTTCTGATGCAGATCACTTCCCAACCTTGTCTGCGTAGCCTTCTCTCCTCTCCAGCCAGTCCTACAGCTCTGATGGCAGATGCTTGGTCTTCAGTTTTTCCTCCTTCCA